CAGAACAATTTGTAAGATGAAGACTTTTTAAAATGTGCATTATTAAAAATGTTCTGAGCAAAGCTGTCAACTTTATTAAGGAGGATTGCTCTGTGCCCAATACTTAGTATAAAATAAAATCAAGTAATACCCCCCAAAAATTGATTTAATGAAGGAACTAGTGAATGCATATAGACAAGTTAATAAAGAAACTCTACATTAAGATTGCTGGGTCGTGTGCAAAGCTGATTCTGTGGCCTAAAGGGCAATAAACATTGACCTTAGGCAGTATCATTTCCACTGAAAGAAACTTTGCCTCTGAACCAGATAAAAATCTGCCAGTTAATCTGTCACTTCACTAAGCCTGAGTTTTCAGTCAGTGCTAAACAGCATGTTGAACAAAAAATACTTTCCCTTCTATAATCTTTGAGTGGCTTTTGCTCCCATGTGACATAGAAACAAAGTTTCACCTATTGGGTCCATGTTTTTTCTCAACACACTTAGAGAAAACTACTTTCTGTTAGAAATGTCAGTGTCTGGGCCAGCCCATGGTATGGTGGCTGGGGTGGCAGAATCTCACATGGCTGACTGTGCAGTTTGAGTCCTGGACCTGTAAGCTTGGAAAGCAGCCCATGCAAGCGTGCCCAGGATCCCCAAGGGAGGGAGAAGTGGAAGAGAGAGGATTGAGGCGTGGTCGTTCCCCATGGGAGCTGCTTGCGCCCTCTCTCACTCTCTCTATTGCTTTCTCTCCAGCAAATGCATACACACTCTGGCAAAAAATTTAAAAAAGAAAAAAAAGTCAACATTATTTCTACTGAAAGTTTAAATATACTCACTTTCCAAGCGAGCATTTACTCTAAACTGACAGAAGGTAAATACTCTTCTACCTCTTAATTAGTCCCGAACATCAATGAGTTTTCTAAGTGTTTTTCAAAGCTTCTGTAGACCCATAGTTTTCCATGGCTCACGATCCTTAGTCTATATTTGTAATGATGCTGGCCTATCTAAGGTGGCCCAGAGGGGAGTCCTGACAAAGAGAGGAAGGGCTTTAGTGACAGAGTGCCCACGCAGTGACCTAATAGCTTCAGGAGGGTCTGCTGCTTGAACCCACACCATGTAGCAAGGTCAGCTGGCCCCCCTGCTTTTGACTTATCTCTGGACAGTGAAGTGCCTCAGTAGGAAATTAATATTTTTGAACTTATGCATTCGTTTTTCTCCCTATACATATGCTAATTTTATCACTTGTAGGTTTCTCTCCAGAAGTCATTTATATTCATATTCATGAACAATGTTGCCTCCCTCTCACCATTCGACAGCTGCTGAATCACATCTGCATTATTCTCAGAAATGGGAATTAGTCGGAGCTGCCTAGTACACAGCACATCTCCTGTGTGTGAACGGGAAGGCATCGGCTCTTCTATAACTAAAACTTCCTCTCCGGCGTAACTGTAGAGTCTCGGTTTGTGTCCGTTTGCTTTAATGGCAGCGTCCGCTTGCATTCAAAGCATTCATGGCATCTGCAAAGAAGCGGGTGTTGGCTTTTACTCTGCTCCTGGCTTCAGCTGGCTCTGTGAAGGCAGCCAAGGGCAGAGAAGGCCCTTCACAGTCTCAGCGGGGGACCTGGCGGAGGGGAAGACTGCAGAATCATAGTCCTCGGCATAAAGAGTTCCAAGATCTGAATGCATTCTTCCCGAACAATTGAATGAATGGGTTTCTTCTCTCCCCTCCTGTCTAGCTAGCTAACCTTGCCTTGTGTCCGGCTTCAATAGCATTCCTCCGTGGAGATGTCTGGAGAGAGGATGGAAATGTGCCGCAGTGCGCTGCATCTGGGACGTGATGGAGGGTCAGAAGCCACAAATGCTGGCAGTTCTCAGGGGAGGGCCTGCTGGTGAAATATGGAGAGATGTCTGCCAAAAGGAGGAGTGTTTCTGCTAGGCTGAGACTAGAAACACTGTTTTATGTGTTTATAGAAGCAGTCGCTACTGAAAGGTGTTTTGGCACTCGGGATGACTCCGTTAGCATTCCGCCAGCTCTGCGATCGTTTCCTGTAATGAGATATGATAAAACTCAAGCTTTTATCTGAATAGGATAAACCGAAAATGAGAATAGATACATGAATTAAAAGGATTTTGACCTTTCTACCTTTGAACTATGGAAAATGTTAGTTTCGCTGGATGATTTTTTTCCCCAAACTATTTAAAACATGTAAACTTTGGATAGTAAATTAAATGAAAGGTTGATAGTCTTTTGAACAATGTGATCTATGGATAGTGTTGAAAAGGCTTCTGATGTGCCTTAATTTGAAATATGACTTAGATTTGGAGGAATTACATGTGGATTATATAAAAATTCGTGGGTCATTTCATTTCAGGGGCATGATGTCAAAATGATAAGGATAAACTAAATCTATTTTAATCTGTTTTGAAACTTTCTAATTTTAATATCTTGTTTTTCTCTTTGATTACATGTTTGTTATAATAAAATAATAGACTCGCAGTGTAGAAAGTTTGAAAATACTGCCGCACATAGAGAAGATAATAGGCATTTGCAACATCCCAACACAGTAAACATTACCGTGAACATTTTTGTTTATTTCCCTCTGATATTTTGTTCGTGCATACAAGTATATATTTATATACAATTAGGCTCATCCTTTATGTAAAGTTTATATTCTGCCTAATACATCAAACCATTGAAACCATAAAAAATGAGATGGTAAGAATGAAGCTTCTGAAATGGAAAATATTCCAATTATATTGAGAAATAAGAGAGCATTGTGTGTTTATCTTAGTTTGATGTAAGAGACAGCGAGCTTGATTTCCGTCTTTCCAGATTCTTTCTCATTATGATGTGTATGCATTCTTTATGCTATTTTTGCTTGTTTGTATTTTCTGGCTGTTCTGTTACAAAGCTCTGTTCCTTTTTTTTTTTTTTTTTAAGGGTTATTTTATTTCACTTTATTTATTTTTACTTTGACCAGAAAGAAAGAGAGGGAAAGTGAAAAAGGAAGCCACCAGGTCCGGGACTTGAACCATGGTCGGCCATGTGGGAGTCCAGCACCCTTAACCACTACACCACCTGCTGGCCCCCACTGTTTTCTTTAACTTAATTGCCATGAGTCAAAATAACCCAACCGGAATCAGCTCTGTATGTGAATCTTTGCGAGTAGCTTTATTACCTTCTCTAACTGTTTTTAGAATCAGTTCCTGAGAGTGAAAGTACTAGGTCTGCGTGTTTGAGCATATTGCATTTTTGTCTCCTTTGTAGTAGAATTATGTCATTCTATAGAAAGGAGCTCAGAAATGTGTTTTACAAAGTAAAGAATAATTTCTCCTGCCATTTTGGCCCTCACCTCTTTTTCTTATTGTGGCTTTTGTGCCAAGGCAAAATGACTCTTCCATTCTCCTGACGTCCTTGAGGCTCAGACATGAATCCAGTGGACCTGCCTGGGGAGCTGCCTGAGTGGGAGCACCTTCTCTTCCTCAAGACAGAGGACAGGCCTGTGTGCAGTGTCACACCTACTGTGGCAGTTTCTCCTTCCCTCAAAATTCATCCTTTAAAAACACACAGACATGGGACCAGCAGTTAGTGTAATGGCCATGTCGCTGGACTCCCATGTAGTCGACTGCGGTTCGAGTCCCAGATCCGGTGGCTTAAAACTCAGGCTGAGCACGTGTGCGTATGTGCCCAAGATCCCAAGAGGAGAATGGAGGAGAAGGGATTGCGGCGTGGCCATCCCCCCTGGGGGGTGATTTCTCGCTTTCTATCTCTCTGTCTCTCTCTGTCTGTCTGGTAAGCGCACGCACCCTATAGCAAAAACCTCTCCAAAAAAAACCACACACAGACATGAGGTTCCCAGTCTTCAGCAGATGACGCAGTGTCAGACGGTCCAGTGCTGAGGACACGCTAGGTTTCTGAGAGCCCTACTCACTTGAAAGTTGAAAGGTGAGTCCTCTTTAGAGGAGGAGAGACCAGATTTTATTTTAAGTGAGGCCATGCGTTCACATCACACAAGATTGTGTTCCCAGCCATCCAAGAGTGCCTCTTCCTGTATTCAACTGAACGTATTTTGTACATTCCCCCAGCTTTTAAAAATGGAAGCAGTGGGCCAGCAGGGGCATGGTGGTTAGGGTGCTGGATGACTGTGGTTCGAATCCTGGACCTGAAGGCTTGAAACACACCAGGTGTGTGTACGTACATACCCAAAATTCCAAGAGGAGAGTGGAGGAGAAGGAATTGCAGTGTGGCCATTCCTACCATACCCAAAATGTAGTTTAAAACTACCCCAAATAAACATATCCTTCTGTAAGTAACAGCGGTGTTCTGTTGTACGAATGTGGCCCTGTGAAAGCGGACTGCCCCTCCAGCCATCCTGCAGCCCCCACCCCTGCCTGCCAAGAAAGGACACGCCACCTCTGTGAGGACTGGGACAATATGTGTGATATAAGTGTTGGGACACTTAAAGATTTGTAGAACAGGATAACGATACTGAAGGAACAGTGAGATTATAGATATTAAGAAAACCAATATACAATGTATCCCGAAACATAGAAAAGTGGGAAGAACACAGGTAACACGGTCGTGTGCATTTTTCTCTATTTCCATGTCAATTTTGTTGTTGTGATTGAGGTTTTTGCCATAGGATGTGTGCACTCACTGGAGAGAGACAGACAGAGATAGTGAGAGATCACCCCAGGGGAGTGGTCATGCCAGAAGTCCCTCTACATTCCCTTCTCAGGATTTTGAGCATGCACACACGCCTGGGGTGATTCTCAAGCCACCAGGTCCCGAGCTTGAACCAAGGTCGATCACGTGGGAGTCCAGTACCTTCACCACACACCAGCTGCTGGCTCTCTCATTTCAGACTTTTACAAGTTAATGTTTCCCTTGAGCGTGGGCTATAAAACAAAACAGTGCACGACTTTGTATCTGAAATATCAGAACCACCCTATTCCACTCAGAGGTTGACCCGTCTCCGAGGAAGCACTCCTTGCTCATACTGCTCTTTTCTCTCCGTAAAGGATGTGCTGGGTGGCGTCCTGATCACCGCGCTCCTCATCGTCCTCACTTACCCTGCCTGGACCCTCATCGACCACCTGGACTCGGCCAGCCCACTCTGCCCTGTGTGTATCACAGTCATACTGTTCTGCTTGTGCTACAATTACCCCACGTCGGAGTTCTACAGCCCAACCAGAGCGGACACCACCACCATTGTGGCTGCCGGGGCTGGAGTGACCATAGGCTTCTGGATCAACCATTTTTTCCAGCTTGTGTCCAAGCCCACCGAGTCTCTCCCTGTTATTCAGAACATCCCACCGCTTACCGCTGGCATGCTGGTTTTGGGTCTGACCAAATTTGCAGTGGGAATCGTGCTGATCCTCTTGGTCCGTCAACTTGTACAGAATCTCTCCCTGCAAGTGCTATACTCGTGGTTCAGGGTGGTCACCAGGAACAAGGAGGCCAGGCGGCGGCTGGAGATTGAAGTGCCTTACAAGTTTGTCACCTACACGTCGGTGGGCATCTGCGCTACAACCTTCGTGCCAATGCTGCACAGGTTTTTGGGATTACTCTGACAGTTGCAAAGTAGCTCACTGGACATGGGGCCAAGACGTAGGAAAGTTGTTGGGTGGGCAAGTCTTGACATTTGTTTTTCTGTCAAAATAAACCTTAAGCCAGCGTGGTTTTGCTGATACCAGATAAATGATGCTTCTTTACAAAAGGAAGGGAAATGTCTCACCGGGACCTCTAAGAGCTGTGCTACTGTTGAACCCAGGGTAAAAGCCACAGTCAAGTTCCCTCCCAACTCCACCCCCCCACACACACACCTTTCCGTTTCACAGGTGTCACACCTGGTCATGAGCTGGCAGGAACTGTGGCCTGGCCTAGGAATGGCTGCAAGCCCCTCTGGGTTCTGGAGCCAGCAGCAATGAGTGATCTGGGAGGCTGCAGGTGGAGCAGTTATGACCTCGCTCAGCACTCAGTCGCATTTCCAGATCTGCAGCTTTGGTTGAGAAGGAAGAGTGATACGATGAGAAACTGCACTCCTGGAACAGGAATCCCTTCTCTTCTATTCCCTTTTTGGGATCTTGGGTATGCATGCACACGTGCCCAGCATGAGTTTAAGCTGCTGGGTCCAGGACTCGAACCAGAGTCAACTACATGTGAGTCCAGAGATGTAACCATTACACCATCTGTTGGTCCCTCTCCTGGCAAACTTAAGGGTGATAAATCCAAGGACTACTTTAGCCTCTCTTGGGGGAAAATGAACCAACCAAGTGTAACACCTATAACAGCTGGGGTGAGTCGTCCTCAAACTTAGACGATGATCATTCCGCAGACAATCAGAGTTCCCTCACAGGGCTTTTCCTGTTCTAAATAGTAAGGTACAGGTATCAACAGCTTTCTTAAAAAGTAGTGTAGAGGGACCAGCAGATACATAGCGGTTACATTGCTGGACTCCCATATAGTCAACTGTGGTCTAAATCTTGTTTTTTCTCTCTGGCAAGTGCATGTACCCTATAGCAAAAATCTCCCTCTCAAAAACAAACAAACAAACAAACAAACAGAGAAAGAAACACAAATGGCAGTGTACCTCTGCAGTGGTATAGTGGTAACTCAGTGCTCCATGATGCTGAGGCTGTGGGAAAGGTCCCAAGTTCATATCCAAAGTGTCCCCATACACCCTGGGCACATATGTGCACCTGTGATTCTGACTGGCTGGGGCAGGGGGTGGATAGTGATGTGAAGGCCCTGTCTCTATATCTCTCTGTCTCTTTCATGGAAGAAAAAAAAATCCCTCTACACTACTTTTTAAATATGTAGTAAGCAGGGTTATCTTCTGCAGTATTCTCCTGAAAGCCAACGTATTATGATCCTAACACATCATCACCTCGCAAATGCCTTGGGGAAGAAATGACCTCGTTATAAGTTATACAGTCTCTGGGACCAGCAGATGGTGTAATGGTTATGGTCAACCACAGTTTGAGTCCTGGACCTGGTGGCTTAAAACTCACACTGGCTGGTGTATGTATGTGGCCAAAATCCTAAGAGGAGGATGGAGGAGAAGGGATTGCAGTGTGGCCATCACTCCAGGGGGGTAATTTCTTGCTTTCTGTCTCTCCAATAAGCACACACACCCTATAACAAAAATCTCTCTCTCTAAAATAATAATAATAATAATAATAATAATAAATAAAGTTACTCTCTGAGCCAGTCAGTGGTGTAGTGGCTAAGGCTGCTGGATCCCACATAGCCAGCTGAGTAGTTCAAGTCCCAGACCTAATGGCTTGAAAAATAGGCCAGGTGCATAGGCATACATGCCCAAAATCCTGAAAGGAGAGATGAAAGAAAAGGGATAGTGGTGTGCGTTTTCAGCATCTCTCTCTCTCTCCTCTCTTTCTCTGGCAAACACAAGCATTCTCTAGCATATTTAAAAAAAAAAAAAAATCACCCAGCTCTTACCTCTGCATCCCATGGTAAAACTCAAAGTTGAATTTTTCCCGATTCTGGTATGGTCTCTGGCCTACTCTTGGGATGATCTTTGGTATTTAATTTAGCACTTCAATTTCTCAAAAAGCATAATTGTTATCAAAATATCTCATGTTTACTTCCAGTTCTCCTCACTTGCATCATAGTTAAAAGACAAAACCCAAAGTGGTGTGCCATCTGATCGCTTTTACATCAGACTCTCACCGGCACTTGGAGCTCCATGACTGAAGGGAGAGTCCCCGTCGACAGCTCCCAGTCCAGGCCTGCTGTCAGTGTGGTGGCTGCATGGACGGACGCTTTTCTCTCACTTTTACTTCTTTTTTCTTTTTCTTTTACTTGTTCTCTTAGACACCAAGTCAGAGATTGCAGCACTGGATAATATGTACATGAAATGATTTTAATAGGTTTGTCTGAACCCAACAACAAAAGGATCAGCCTCTCCCGCTTGACTCTTAAAAACAGAAGCTATAATTATTGTCACAGCAGTGGGTGTTGGTGAGATATACATCTATATATTTATAATAAATGTTATAATATATATAAATATATGCTGTCCCTCTTAAGTCCCAACAATAAGGTTGATTGTCTGCATTGATATATTTAAGGCTGTATTTATAGTTTGGACCGAGGATAAATATTAGCTTTAGTACATTAAAGGATGACTCAAGGATTTGTTAGGGTTGGCCTTTTTAAGTATCTGATCATGTCAATTGGAGAAGAAAAAGTATGTATTGGTGAAGCTGCTCAGTGTTTAAGCACTCCTGCTCTACGCTCTAGACTCAGGCAGAAACTGAAAAAAGGTTTCACCAGATTCACACTCTGCTTTACCAGCCCTCTCCACTCATTTCGTGAGCAGCACTTCACTCTGTAAATTCCCTCCCACTCTCTTCACCGTTGCCTGTCCCTTCAAGAAGGCCTTAACAGTCTATTTAAGACCTTTGGATTTCCTCTCTGGGGAAAGACTGCCCCCTGCTGGTATGGCTTCAGCCTTGGCCCAAAGCCCCTCTTCCTCTTAAGAATTTAAGTCAAGCTCCCCACAATGTAGCAGATCCAATCCTAAGACCACTGGTCTGGCCAACCTTGCTTTTGGAAACTATGATATAAAGGCTCTCAAGATTGTTGTCCCCTCCAGGAAACAGGTAGAGTGGCATGCCCTTCTTACTGTCCCCATCCCACCCCCAAACCACCGCCCCTCTGGGCTGTGACATCCGTCCTATAACCTTCACTCTTAACAGCTATTGGAGCTAGAGGTGCCATGGTAGTTAAGGTGATGGACTCCCACATGACTGACTACGGTTCAAGTCCCAGACCTGGTGGCTAGAAAATCGCTTTGGGTGTATGTGTGTGCATGACCAAAAATCCTGCAAGGAGAATGTAGGGAGAAGGAATTGCAGTGTGGCCATCGTTGGGGAGAGGGGGGTGATTTCTCACTTTCTCTCTCTCCGCCTCTCTCTGGTGAGTGCACGTGCCCTATGGTATAAAACATAAAATATAAAACAATAAAAAAATAGCTCTCATCCCATGCCAATTTTGCTCAGACCTGCACAATAAAAAAAACACAGAAGGATTAAAACAAAACAGAGAGGAGACCCCTGTACTAAAAACTGTTCAAAGGTGGCTGCTCAAACCACTCCCAACACCCAAGCCTCACTGTAACACGGGGTGTTCTTGCCCAAGTAGTCTACTCAAGCTTCCCCAGTGTAACCCAAGCATGTGGTGTTCTGGGGCCGTATGCTCTGGGTTTCTATTTTGAAAGCCTTCTGCTGTCTTGCTTATGTACTGTATGTAAATTTATTCTTTTTAAAATAAAGAAAATCACTTTTGTTTGATTATGACTTATTACATACTTTAAAAGCCAATATTCTGTTTCCTTGGATTTCTTTCTTAACCCAGATCTTTTCCTCTGGGTTCATTAGGCCAGAGTCAAAAAATGGAGACAAAACTAAATTGCAGGCTGGGGCCAGCTAGGTAGTGTGGTGGTTAAGGCGGCTGGATCCCAGAAGGCCAACTATGCTGTTTGAGTCCCAGACCCGGTGGTTCGAAAAACATGCCCAATGTGTGTGAATGTGTGTCCAAAATCTCAAGAGGAGAACGAAGGAGAAGAGATTGCAGCATGGCCTTGACTTCAGGAGGTGCTTTCTCACTTTCTCTCTCTTACCGTCAAGTGTATGCACCCTTAAGCAAATTAAAAATAATAAATTGGGCCAGCAGGTGGTGTCCTGGTTAACAGGGCGTTGGACTCCCACATGGCCAACAACGGTTCAGGTGCCAGACCTGGTGGCTTGCTTTCTCACTTTCCCTCTTTCTTTCTCTCAGTCTGTCCTTCTCTGGTCAAATTAAAATAAATACATAAGTAAATAAAGTTAAATAAAATTATTCTCTAAAAAAATAAGTTGTAGACCACATAATTCTCTGTTGTCTGACTCATCCCGCAGTGGCCACAGATGCAATGAACAGGAAATGAATGCTATGGCAATATGGTTAAATCCCTTCCTTTAAATCCTCAATACTGAAGGGTGTCCTTTAACCATACGTGGAGATAAATGTTACTATGTGTTTAAAGATAAACATTATAGGTGTTGCTAGTTAAGGTAACTAAGGGATTTTCACAGATGATTACACCAACTGCTGAACTAAGGAACACAACACCCATTCAAATGCACTCACAGCAACTGTTCTGCTCTAAGCCTCCCCAGTTTGTTATTTAAAATGGCACTGAAGTTGATACTCTGATTTGCAAAGCAAATCTATTTGTATTCCTTACCTGTATGCTGGGGCCCAGCAGAGGGGAAGCTCCAACCTGTCCTGTGCAATGTCCAGGAAAGACAGACTCAGAGAACTACATTACAGATCAAGATCCAGACTTTAAGGCTGCAGAGGAAAGAGAACTATGCCATGGGAATTGGGAGGAGGGGCGATTAGTTCCAGCGACTCTAGGAAGGCTTTACGGAAGTGCCTGTGAGTGAGGCTTAAAGAACAGGAGGGTTTGCACAGGTCATGTAATGGGGAGGCATGAGATGGAGAAGCTCATCAGAGCGCTTTCCCAGACACTCCCAACTCTTACAAGGACAAACCAAACCAAACCCATGTCCGGAACTGTGTGCACGAATCAGTGGCAGCAGCCAGTGGAGTGGTGGGGAAGGCAGCTGGACTCTACAAGGCTAGTGTGTGGTTTGATTCTCTGACCCGGGGGCTTGAAAAACACACCA